AGTCGTGGAGAGAAGGCGATTTGTCCTTCCGCGTCTCTCTCTCTCTCTCTCTCTCTCTATATCCCTGCCTGTGTGTGTGTGTGTGTGTTTGGCTCTTGCTCCCTCCCCGTGTGCCCTCCGTGAGGAGCCGCGTTGGCCAAACCCCAACTCCCTCGCCTTCGCTGCTCTCCTCCTCGCTTCTTTCTTGCTGGGCGCAGCCACGTGGGGAGGCAGCCCCCAATCCTCACTCCAAAGCGATATATATATATATATATATATTCTATATTTATATACACAGAGGGTGGTGCGCTGCGGCGTCTGTACGCTGTGGCGTAGATGACGGCCCTGGATCGCTCTCCCTCCACAAAGAGCCTGACGGAGACGCCACCCGGCGTTGTCTCTGCCCCCTCGAGTTCGCCCGACAGCGACGGCGAGGACGCGCGTGTGCGAGCCCTGCCGAGTCGACGAGGGACGCCCCGAAGGATCGCGGCCTCCCCCCACTCCAGCAATGGAGCGGCGCGGGAGCGCTTCAGCTGCCCCTCTGTCGCGGTAGTGTCCCTTGAGCAGCACTACCTCACCACAGTGCAGCAGTTAGAGAGGATTAAAAGTATGTATTGCCGCCTCGACTCGCACAACGACGAGCTGGAGAGCTCCTTCGTTGTGCTTCGCGACCGCTTGGACGCTCTTCGTTCGTTTCTGGCTCTTCGTCTCAGCACGACTGCGAAGGAGCTGCGAGCTGAGGTGCGTCTGTTGCGGGAAACGGCCTCGTTTCAGCTTGGGGAGTTTGCGGAAAACATGCGACGGTACGGGAAGCGTATCTTGGCTCGCGTTGGGCAGGCTGGCGAGGGGGCGGAGCTGCAGTCGCTGCCGCTTGCGACGTTTGGTCGCGTGCGCTCGCGTCAGACGCAGTCGCCGTCGTCGTCTGACACGTACGTGGCTGCGGCTGAGCAGCCCCTCATCTGCCCCCCTGCGTCCCATGTGCACGACGGCGTGTCTGCCGCCAATGCGGTTCGCCTCAGGGGAAACCCGCGTGTGTCGCGGTCGCGGGAGGCGCTTGTGCGCAGCCCTCGTCCTTCCCTCACACACTCGCCCAGCAGCCGCGGCGAGGCGGCGGAGCTTTGGGAGGCACTCAGTGAGGCTGTGCAGAAGCGCGAGGACCTTGAAGATAAAATGCTCCGACAGCAAGAGAGCTACGAAAAACACATTCGCAGCATGCGGGAGTTGTACGCGCAGAAGGAGCGCACCTTGCAGCGGCGTGTAGAACTGCTCGAACGGGCTTTGAGGCGCGACGTATCAGGCAGCGGTTTCCGCGACGACAGTCGCAGAAGGAACGAGGGCGGCGCGGAGGACGACCGCAGTGCGGACGACGGCGTGGGCGGGTCGCCGCATTCCTCTGGGCCGCGCTGTAGGGATTCGTTTGCCGGGCAAAGCGGCGCCGTGGGTCCGTGGACGAGGACCAGTAGCGCGCCGAAGCGCGGGTCGCGCCGAGCCCGTTCGTCGTCGTTGGGGACGCGAGGCCCCGTGGCGGACCCCGACGCACGCGCCGAGGAGCTGTGCGGCAAAGTTGGCGGCGGGGAGCCTGGCGGGTGGGGTGCCGCCTTAGACGACGCCCCGCATCGCAGTCGCCGCAGCGACAAGGAGCAGCGCCGGCGTTCCTCGGCGTTGAGTGCCGAGGCGGCGGCGGCGGCAGGGGAGCCGTGGACGCTGGGGCGCGACGTGGAGCGCCGTGTGCGGTCGCAGTGGCTCTCACGCAGCCGCCGCGGCCCCTTCGACGGGGCGTACTACAGGCACTCCGCTCCAACCTCGCGGCGCGAGGAGGAAGCACTGGCGGGCGCCGCCTCCCGCCTGTTGGATGCCGTGACGGATGCGTACACAACAAGCGACAACCCGCAGCAGCGGCGAGAGGGGCGTTGGGGCGCGGCGGGTGGCGCGCTTGACGAGGATGTGGTGAGTCGGCTGTACTACGTGCCGCGATCCCCGCCCAGGCGTCCTGACACGTACACTCATCTTTCCCCCGTGCCCAAGAGCGGCGTGGCGTCTCGCCCGGACCGGGTATCCGACGTCTCCAGAGTGGCGCGTGGGCTGTGGGCGGAAAAGCTGCTTCGGGAAAGAGCCACCCGGCAGCCACGCTGACAAAACAAGCTGCGGGGATGTTTTCCGCTCCTTTTGCCCATTTTTTTTTTCATGCGCCCGCTTATTCTCCTGTGTGTTGGGGTGTGTACATGGCTGTCGGTGTGCGTGCTATGTCTTGGGCCCCGTGCCTGCCGCGGTGGCCCGCCGTCACTGCGTGCCCTTCCACTGGCGCTGGTGATGGCCTGTATCTTTGTACGGTGTTTTTTCCTTTCTTTTCTGTGTGTGTGTGTGCGCGCTTTTGTTTTTTTCAGTCGGTTTTCGCTGCTGCTGCTGCATTCACTTCTGCGCGCATCAACGGCGTGTGCGCATTGCCTGCGGCGCCGCGGCAAGCCCACACTTCCTACCTTAGATCACTGCTTTGATGTCCTCCCTCTGCCCCTTTTGCCCTCCTTCTCTCGCGCCTGTCACATGTGCGGTGCCGCCACACGCACACACACTCACTGGCAGTGCAGTCAAAGGAAAGACGAATGCGCTCCATGCCGATGCGCCGTGCGGCTGCAGCAGCCGCGGCAGGAATGTCTGCGTGCCTGGTGAGCGGGGCGCGCGAGATGAGTGCCCTCTCCGCAACAGCACTCTGGAGGCTTGGCGCCGCGACCCGAGTTGCGCTCGCCGACGGGAAGGAGCGCCGCTACTCACGTTTGGGCATGGACGGATTCACCGACGTCACGTACAACACCGCCGCGGATCTCTTCCTGGACCACGTGGACAACGTGCTGGAAGGCGTCGACAGCAGCGCCATTGAGGAGGTGCAGCTCGCGGGTGGGGTGCTCACGATTGAGACCGCGGCGCACGGGACCTTTGTGCTCAACAAGCAGGCGCCGAACGTGCAGCTGTGGCTCTCCTCGCCCGTCTCTGGGCCGCACCACTACGACATGGTGCTGCCGGAGGGGGACCGCAAGGTGCAGAAGGTGCACGACGCGCAGTGGCTCGCCGACAGCGACGGGCACTCGCTGAAGGAGAAACTGGAATGGGAGTTGACGCAGACGTTGGGGGTGGAGGTGAAACTCTGAGCGTGGGGCGCAACGTGAGGCAAAAGGGGAGGACGAAGGAAAACCAAAAACGAAAAGAAACGGGGCGGAGTGTGTGCGACCGCGGTCGAGAATTGGCCACGAGGCATCGAACCGGAGTTGCCCCCACGCGTGCGACGATGTGCCGGCGTGGGGAGGGGAGACACGTGCCGGTGGGCCGGGTGCTGCCGCTTGCATTTGGCCACCGTCGCAGGCGGAGACGCGGCAAACGAGGGAGGGAGAGGTGCGTCTGCCTGCCGGGCGGCGCAGCCCTCCGACGATCCATTTCCATGCAGTTTATTTGTTGTTGTTGTTGTTTTTTTTTCCTTTTTTTTTGTTGAACTTTTCCTCCGTCTCTCAGTGTCCTTCTGCGTGTGCCTCAGCGGTGGGCTGCAGCCGCGTGCAGTGTTGTGGCCCCCCACCCCCCACCCGCCCCCACCCGCCTGTAGTTTCGCGTTCTTCGCTCGCGGCGCGCACCATCCAGCACCACAGTGGGCGGTACTGCGCGTAGTAGTGACTATAGTAGCAGCCGATTCTCTCTGGCACCAGCGCCCGCAGCCCGAAGCGGTGGACGGCGACAGGCAAACAAACCACAGCCACACGAAGGCAGGCAGGCAAAAGAAATATAAAACGAAAAAGCAAAGGAAAATCAACCAAGCAAAAACAGGGGAGCCCTGGAACGGAAACGAAGAAGCCCAGGAAGGCGGTGTAGCGAGGGTCAGGAGTGTTAACGAGGGAGAAGAATGATAGTTGAACAGGACATGGGCGAGAAGCACCACGCGACGGCGACAAGAAACGGCGAGGCACCCACCAACGAGCACCCAGCAGAGACGCACGGCCACACCAAGGAAGGAGCTCCGGTGGTGCAGCAGGCAGACACGGCTGTTGACGACGCATCGGCGGCCCCGCGACCTCCTTCACCGTGTGCGCAAGGAACTGAAGCGGGTGCCGTGGACAACGGTGAAGCGTTGCCTGCGCCGCGGCAAACCTCTGAGAACCAACTGCCAAAGGTCCAGGGAGGAATGGAGGAGGTGCCAGACAAATCGGCCCACTCTGCGGAAGGTTTCTCGGAATGTGGCTCAGACCCTCCCGAGGCGGCGGCGATGGTGCCTTTGCCTACGCCGCAGCCTCCGGCGCAAGCGGTTGCGGTGACGACGCACAAAAAGACCTTTGCGGGGAGTGGGTGGTCGTCGTTGCTCTCCTCAATGCGCGAGACCGTGGAGCGCACGCTACTGCAAGAAACCTCAAAGGCGACAGGGCTACCGGACGCGAGCATCCGTGTTGTTAGCATGAGCGTGGAGGCGGATTCAACGCTTCTGACGGAGCTTGCACTGGTCCACGACGCCACCGCGTCGGCGGCGGAGTTGGATCGCGCCCTGAGCCTCTGCGCCTTTGAGGGGATGAAGGAGCTGCTGGAGACGGGAGCCTCCGAAGAGGCGCCCCGACCCACTGAACCCGGCGCCCTTCCGCAGGGCACGGCAACTATCTCTCATAGCAACGTCGCTGCTGTTGCCGCTGCCGCTGCCGATGACGGGGACGGGGACGCTGCGGCGGCGGCGGAAGAGGCGGCGGCGGAGCCGGAGCCGGAGCCGGGGCAGCCAAGGAAGAGGGGCGTCGTGAAGGAAAAGGCTCCTGAAAACGCGCCGCGGCAGAAGACAGTGGTCGCCCCACAGCACTCCGGGAAGGCAGCAAAGAGGCAGAAGGAAACACCGCTGAGAGGTGACTCGCCCACCGGTCACCGCCGCGCAGGCGGCCCACGAACGGAGGTGAACAAGAACAGCGTTGCTCCGACGGGCAGGGCAGCCACGCCACGCAAGCGGATATTTACACCACGCACAGAACTGGCCACCCCGCGAGCGGCGTCCACGCCACGCACAGGGACGACAACGCCGCGCATGCAGCGACCTGGTATGCGGTTTCTTCAACTCACAAGCCAGTTTATTGCCACACTGTCACCTACTGTCACACATCTGCAAAGTCCTGTTCGGCCTTCAGGGGTGCACCGGGCGTCAGCCGCGCCTGAGCAGTACACGCCGCGGCGTCACCTCTCACGCCGCGAATCCCCCCTTCATGTACGCTCCGCATCGCATCCAAAAGCTTCCGGCAGGCATCTTCGTGAAACAAAGCACGCTGCGCAACCGGGTGACGTCAGTGGAACAAAACGGTACACCAGTGGAATCCGGCGCAGCGAGACGCGGCCGGTGCCACCACAGCGCATTATTCGTCTGGGGTTCCCGAGCTTTCCGCGTGCATCGCACATCAATGTGGAGCCAGTTTCCTTGCTCCCTGCAATGCAAGCCAGCGAGGGGGCTGACGCCCTCGTCGCCACCGACGAGGCACTGTGCGCCCCCCTCGCTGGTCCCCTGGTCGACATTAACGACGTTGGGCATGACACACACGTTGCAGATGTCGCCCACTCTGCGCGGTCTGCAGAGGCGCGGTCAGAAAAAAATCATGCGTTGCTCGAGAAGACGCCTGGGGTCTCGCGTCGATCGCGGTCGCCGGCGGTCCCCTCCGTGGACCTGGCGTCCTCCACCCACGGTCACTCCCAGGAGTAGCGAGTCCCTGCAGCACATACTCCCCGCGCGAGGCGGAGTACAACAACACGAGCAGCGGCATTGACGGTGGCGTCTGTGAGCAGGGGAGGGTGTGTGGGGTTTGGAGTTTACCTGGCAACTCGTGGGCGGGGCGAATGTTTCTGCAGTGTGTGTGAACTCTGGACGCCACAATGCCGAGGAAAAGAAGGAGCAGCAAACCTAAAAACAAAACGGCGCATAAACGGGCGTGCAACCACGCCGATGGTGGAGACGGTGGTTGTTGCGTCCTCCGAGGCTGCGCAGGACTGCCTTTGGCGGCGCTGCGGCACAACAACAAAAGCAAAGTTGACGAGGGAAACAAAAGATAATATATGTCAAGTTAATTATTGCCCCACGCGCTCTGAATTGTCGTTTGCTGTTTTGTAGTTTCGATTTCATCTATTTTTGTCCTGTATTTATTGTTGGTGCCTTTTTTGTCCTCCGTGGTTTGTGTGTGCGTGCGTGATTGCGGGGGGAGGGGGGGGGTGTCTGCCGCCGCCGCCGCCGCCTCCTCCCACGGCGGCCGCCGTCGTTTTGTTGCCGAGGCGTCTGTCCCTTCCCAGAGACAGGGGGCGATGATGTGACGGGTGGGGGGAGGAGGGAGGAGGAGGGGGGGAAGAGCGGCAAAGCAACGCCAACAACATGTAAAAAACGAAAAAAAAAGAGAGAGAGAGAAGTAAAGAAAAATAAATAAAAGGAAGGAGAGAAACAAGGACCGAAAAGAGGAAGAGGGAAAAAGCTGTACTCGGAGTAGGGGAAGGAGGGGAGCGAAGACGGGTTGTACGTACTCAGCGTCCGTGCCGGTTGCCCGTAGGACCCATGTACGGCGGCGGCGGCGGCGCAAGGATGTCCTCCCATCGCAGCAAAAGTGAAAGTGAAGAGGAAAAATGGGGGGGGGAGGAGTAGTGGGGGTGGCGGGAGGAACATCATCTCATCTCCACGCATCAATAACCCCTCCCACGTGTGCACACATACACATATATGCACAACCTACATGTATGTATGTATGTAAATACTGGTATTTGCCGCTATGTTTCTGTGCCACGTAGCAGTCGGACGGCGGTGTTCCCTTCTGCGCCTGACCTGCGCCGCCGTCTCGCATTCCGCGCCGGCACCCAACATCATCTCTCTCTTTGCTTCTCTCTCCGTCTTGGGGTGGTGCTTTTGCCGCGGCCGTGGACGGATGCCTCAGGGGTGGGAAGTAAGAAGCTTTCCCGCCCACCAGTTTTACTTCTTCCCTCTTTATTTCATTTTTCTTCTTTTTTTTTTCCTTTATTATGTATGTAAACATATGTCTTCTCTTCTTCCTCCCGGCGCGAGTCGCTTGCAGCTCTGAAGGAGCGAAGCTGGCGAGGAAGAAACCAGAGGGGCTCCACGTGTGCGACCGGCCTCCCCCCTCTCCTTCCCCCGCCCAAGTCACGCAGCCGTGAAGGCAAGAGATACACACCGAAGAAAGAGAGAGAGAGGGAGAGAGGCATAGGCACTTGTACGGCGCCCAAGCATTAGTGCGCGATGGACGCCAGTCGGGGCGACAACTTCTCGGAGGTGAGTTTCGCCGTTCTGGTTCCGCCGCAGGTCCCAAAAACCCGCGGCCCGTCGCTCGCGGCCGGGCGGCGAACACCCGGCGGACCGCCACGCACAACCCCGACGCGAGCGGTCCGCCGGTGCTATTTGCGTTCAGGGCGCTCTCTCGCGGGAGCTCCGCCCTGCCCGGAGCAGGCGCGCGCCAGACGGCTCATACCGCAAGCCGCCGATGGCGAGAGCATCGCGTGGAGCAGGGAGAGCGTCGCGGCGGAGTCGGCGCCGTCGTTGCGGCTTGACGTCGTGAGTGAGTCACCCGCGGCCCTCGATGCGCAGTCGGGCATCGTCTCCGAAACGGAGCCAGGCAAGAGCCCCGGCGGGAGGCACCGCCGGGCGTCTCCCTCCACTGGCCCCGAGGCGGACCTGCAGAGGATGCTTGAGGCGACGGCGGAGACGCCGCTGCCCGGCCTCTACGTGCCGCGTGTCTCCCCAAGGCCCGCGGCGCCGCTTGCCACGGCGAAGACGACGACGCCGACCCCGTCGTCGCGCTACCACACTCCCACCAGTATGCGCTTCGAGGTGCTCGACAACGCAAACCTGCACGGCGAGGATGACGAAGCCGAGAGTCTGCCTACGGCGTTGCCTCCGCCGAAGCCGCATCCCGTTGGTAGGTCCACGCCCGCATTGCAGCCGGCTGTGAAGGCGACGAAATTGAGGCTTGGCGGGGATGCCGCTAAGGACGCGCCCGTCAGCCCGCGGGGCGGGAACACCGCGAGTGGCGCCGGCAAGACGGACGACGACGGCGCCGTAAGAGGCGGAGAGAAGCGCCCCGCCGCGCCGAGAAGGAATGTTGCGACGTCGGCGCCGCCGGGGCGAACCGCCTTGGCCCCGGCGCCGGTGCCACTGCAGTCTGCGGCAACCTCCCTCCTCACCGAGGTGGGTGCGTGGATGGAGGTGTTAAATAGCGTGGAGGACGCAAACTGCTACAGGCTCTACTTGGGGAGCAGCGAGAGGGCCCTCCAAGGCACCCAGCGTGAGATGGCGGCACTGCAGCGGATGCAGCTGGCCGTGGACGCGGAGCTCCAGGCCGCCAAGGCGCGCCAACTCGAAAGCCGCGACGGCAGCCACGCAAGGCAGAGCCCTGCCGCTCAGGTGGGGGATGTAAGTACTAAAGGCAGCGACGCCGCTGGGGGACGGCACACGGAGGAAGCGTGGCTCGCGGACGCGGAGGAGGATGCGGAAATAGCAGGCGAGGAGGAGGCGTGGCGAATTGAAAAGGGCGAGCTCCTCGCAGAAAAGGCGCTGTTGCTGCAGAAGCGAAAGGAGTTGTGCTACCACCTGCGGCGGGGGACAAATATAAAGAACGTCGCCGCCCTGTCCTTGTCGGAGGGCAACGCGCGGAGCAAAGCCGACGGCTGGGCCGCCGATGCCTCCCACGCGGAGGCGGCGTCGCACGCCAACGGCCTTGAAATAATTCAACTACGTCTCGAGCTGAAGGAGGCGCAGGTGCAGTTTCTGAAGCTTGTCGACTCGCATCGAATAATGCAGGATTCCCAGCGCACGCGCGCCAAGGAGTTTGCGGACGAGTTTGTTAGGCTGCGTCTCGCCGCCGCTGCGGCAAGGCAGGAGGCGGAGGGGCATCGCGGCGCGCTGGAGGCCACGCTGCGCAGGTCCGAGGAGTTGCGGGGGAGGTGCCGGCAGAAAGACGAGGCCTCACTGCTGCTTCTGCTCGAGCAGCGCGTGGAGGAGGCGCGTGCGGCACTGCGATCGCGCGAGGACAAGTTGGCGCGCAGTGACAGCCTTCGCTCACGGAGGTCGAGCGTCGGCCGCGCCCCAAGCGCAGGCTTAACGGCGCGTCGCTTGTCGGGTCCCGCGGGTGCCTTGACAGCCGCGGCGCTCCCCGAGAGGCGGACCTCGGCGGGGCCAACGCCCCCGCAGCGTGGGCGTGCAATGAACTAGACGCGAGAAACGGGGAGGGGGACGGAGGAGGAAGACAACGCGGCGGGCTAAGCGTGAGGTCGTCTATTCCGCCCGGGTGGGGTGGCGGCTGCCGTCGCGGGTCGCTTGACTTGCTTTTTTTTTTTTTTGCCCTCCTCTCCCTTTTCTGCTGCGATGTTGTAATGTGCGGCTTCGCTGTGGGGGCAGGGACCCTTTTGCGTGGCGACGTGCACCCGCCTCCCGCTGTGTCTGCGTTTGCGTGTGCGAGTGCGGTGTGGGTCCGGCGGGGAGGGCGGCGTCAAACCACACGCGCCTTTTGTTTTTCTTCGCCAACGGGTGCGCCCGCAGGTGGGGAGATGCACACACACACTCACATGCATATGTATGTGCGCATAACGTGTATGCCCTGCCGGCACTTGCGCCCCCCCGCAGTGTTCACCCGATTTGCGGGCGAGGGGGCATTTCACGGCGCCGCGCCTTCCGTGGGGCCCCGGCGAGAGTGCACGCAGCCACAACAACAACAACAAACGAACAGCAAACGAAAAAAAAAAAAGCAGCAACAGGCGCGCATGCAGAAAAGAGTGACGTCCGTGCCGTAAGACGAGGAAGAAACCAGAAAAAAATAATAATAATACGTTGGCCCGCAGCTGACGGCTCCCACGAGGGTGTTTGAGGGGCGCAAAGGGCAAAAAAAAAAAATGTATGTGTTGGCTCTCTTTTCCTTCCACCCTGGTCGACGAGGAGTAAACTAACGGAGGCGTAATAAGCGTGATAGGAAGAAGTAAAGACTAACACACAAGAAAGAACAAGGAAAGTAAAGGTAAGATAACAATGCCAGCGAAAAAGAAGGGAGGCCGTGGAAAGACAATCAACCTTGTGGACTTCAACGATGAGTACATCCCGGAGGACAACTTAGACTGGGCGGTGGAGGCGCCGCGGGAGAGGACCCAGGACGAGGTGGTGCAGGAGAAGCTCGCCAAGCGGGAATACAGCCGCACGGCAAATAATGCGCTGATGGAGAAGGGTGGCTTTCGCGACGCCCCAAGCGAGCAGGTCGGCGGCGCCAGAGGGGTGGCTGACCTTCAGCCGCCTTTCGTGGCGCACTTTGGCAACCTTCGCAACGGAACCACCGAGGATGAGTTCCTGCGCAACTTCCACGAGGACTGCATTGTCACCTCACGACTCATTAGTCAGGATGGAAAGAGTTTCGCGTTTGTGGAGTTCAAAACTGCCCAGGCTCTCGCCATCGCGCTTGCCATGGACCAGACGATGGTCAAAGGCCGCAAGCTTTACGTAGACTTAGCCACGCAGAAACAGGTGGAGCGGCTTCACGGGCACAACGGGATTTCACGACAGAACGCAGGACAGTCGCAGCACGGCGCCGGGCTGCAGCAGCTGAACTTCTCCCGCGACGCATTTGGCTCCACGCAAACCACCGAACGAGAGACGGGGTCGCGGTCTGGTTTTGGCTCCAGGAACGACCTCCACACGCTAGCCGACCTCTCGCGCGACGCGCTGGGAACCGCCACCCGGAGCTCCGAGGGGGTGGCGAGTCCGATGGGGATACCAGACTTCTCAAGCTGGCGAAACGAGGGCCCCGTGGCGCAGCCGGAGTTTCACCTGGGCCTGCGCGAGAACCGCGGAAGCGAGGGCGAGCTCGACCGTCGAGGCGGCGGCGGCGGTCGCAACAGCAAGCGGCACAGCCCTGTCGCGGCTGGCGGTCTGGCAAACTGGCGCGGCGAGCCGGTGACGCAGCAGCCGCCGCCGCCGCCACCACCTCCGCCCGCACCCGGGGCGGGCCACGGGGGCGACGACGGCAACACCGGGGGCGAGGAGGGCCGCAGGGGGGGATGGGCACGCGATGGCGCCGGGCGCGGGGGTCACCGGGGCCCGCCGAGGCCGCCCGCGGCACCGCGGGACGACAGCAAGTGGGAGGCGCTCCGTCGATAACCCCGCGGAGGGGCGCCGCAGGGTCGAGGGGGGAAGAGGGCGGCAGAAGCCACGCAGAGGGAGGAAGGCCAAGCAGGTAATTTTATAAAAGGGGCAAGGCGGGCAAATGAGGGCGCGAAAGGGAAGGAAGGAGAGGCGAGACTGGCGAGGACACCGGCGAAACAGCGGAGGGGGCAACGATGAAGGGAAGGAACGAAAAAGGGTGGTTGCCGTCTTAGTGTAGCGAGAGGTTCATCCCACCCGCCTTTCGTGTGCCTGCGGTCGCGGCTTTTTATTTTGTTTATTATTTTCCTTTTTTTTTCTACTTTTTTGTTTTGTTTTTGCTTTTGTTTTTGACTGCCTCGTGCTTCTCCCCTTCCCTTCTTCGGATCGCTACTAATTTTGCGCAGGCGCACGCCTCACTGGCGCCGTCGTTCCCACGCCGCTTGTTTGTTTTGCCCCGATCACTGTTTGTTGCTGTTGTTTGCGCGCGCGCGTGCCCCGGCACCCGCCCACCCGCACGCACGCGAAGAAGGCGGGGAAGGGGGGAGGGGGTCGGCCGCGGAACCCGAGACAACGACATCGGCAGCGACAGACGATTGGGCGAAAAAAAAAAAGCAGCGATAACTGCTACCTTCACCGCTAAAAAATAACGGAAGAAAACGGGGCCGGGAAGGCGCGACGCGCCGCCGAGCACGCGAAAGACCTGCGTTAGGAACGTGAAAGCGGAAGAAAATAAAAGCTAAGAGGAAAAGGCTGGAAAACCAAACAAAAAAAAACCGGACGAATGCTCTTCAGCTGTGCCTTCCTCACCGCCCTCTCGGCGCGACGCGGGGGCGCCGCCAGCGGACCTCCAACCAACTTCTCCAGCATTGCGTTTCCCTCTCCCACCCACCCTCCCGCTAGGAAAGAGACCTGGATAGACCAGGATTTCGGCACCGCGATGCGACGCAGGAGGTCCGACTGGTCGCGCTTGCCGGGCGCAACGAGCATCACCATCTCGTCGATGCAGTCCACCTCGCTGATCAGCCCGGTAGGGTTGGGGAGGTACGCCTCACACGTAAAGCACACCAGCGCGCAAGACACGGCACGGGCGGAGCACGGCTCAGCCGCGCGCGCCCCGGCGCCTCGCCGGCGGGTTCTCCCCCACCCGCCTCTCGCGCTGCGCGGCGGCCGCCGCGAAGTAGGCGGCGAAGGCGCCCCGGGCACCAGGAGGGGCGGCCCACGCGGCAGCAAGCTGCGCCACCACCGCCCCGCACCCCACC